GAGCACGCAATATTAAACCCATTTTGTTCGTGCGCACTGGGCCAGGATAACTCGATGATTAGGGCCACGAATGGGACAGGTTTCTTCAGCTTGATTTCATGACGGTAATGTAGCCCATACATGGGAGAAGAAAGGCAGAGATGGGGACATCTGCTCAACACAGGCCAAAAGGAACCTCAACGGCATCCTGTATGGCATCTGGGGGGGTGGGGAGCAACAGGATGGGCTATTGCATGCGCGAACGTTTTGTTGTTGTTTTTGACTCCTTTTATTATTATTTTAAATATATTTTTTTGTTCGTTCATTTATTGAATTTCATCAGTTACTATATTAAACCTCTGATATGAATTATATAGGCTCCACAAAATAACGAATTCCATTTTATTTGCATATTTTTGGCCCAGTACACGTTCGAACCTTTTATCATTTTTTGAAAATAATTTATTTAAAATCAGTAAAATTGTTAAATGTGTTTCCTGTAGTATTGTTTAAAAAGCACACGCTGTTGCATGCACTTCCACCTCACCCTCTGCAGATCACACAGCTCTCGCGCATCTCTCGCGCTGTCTTGTCAGAGGACATGAACACATGTTTTGATTACACCACCGGTGGCCGAGCGGCTCCTCCGTTATTCCTAATTAAACTCAATTCCCAAAGTAACATTTATCTTCCAGGGTCTGCGCGTTCACTGTGCGTGAGCGCCACTGCCTTCTGCTGTGCGAGAGGAGATGCGCGCGGGGTCAATCAATAAAGCGAGGACACAGACACGGTATGTGCATCATGCATCTGTTGCAATCAAACAATGCTGCAGTTTATGGGACATTTGTTTGCGTGTGTGTGACATTTGTATTTTGGCAAGGGTTGCGCGAGCACGTTGAGTTATGGAAATGTATTGCCGTGAAGTTTGACCACTTTATTTATCTGTTAGTCTTTACATGCTGGTGTAAAAACATGTGCATTTAAGGGATTTAATACCCTGTGTGGTGTGGATGAAAATGTTTTCGTGTTGAACAGAGATTCATTCGTTGATGGGTTTTCTTTTTATTCGGTTATCATAATCTCACCATCCACAACCCAAAGTCTTGATATCATCTGAGAGAAAAGTGCAATGTTATTTTGACGTGATGGATGTACGTTTAATTGTTTTATCGTATCTTTTATTCATTCTATATAATTGGCTTTACAAACTTTGCAGAATTTGTTTCAGAATACATGGCTGCGATTCAAAATTGGCGCATTTCCTATTATTCCGATGTGGCTTGGTTCATTTTTTTTGTTGTTGCGTATTTTTTCTCACTCTCAGTTTTGAGTTCAACTGCTTCTTGCTCTTTGAATTAGAAAAGGTAAGCACTGCCCAGGAAACAACAGAACTGTTGTGCAAATCGAAGAAACAGAGAAATGGATCTGATCAGCCATCTATCACTTCTCGCAATAAAGGAGGCGATACGGCAGAGGCAGATGATTTGATGAATAATCTTCGGTCGTTTTAATTAACTTTTTGCTGTCCTATAATGACCGAGTTGGTCAACGGAGCCGGTCAATAAGAATGTTATTATCAAACAAATAAAACTTCTCATGATTAAAAACCTCCCGCTTTATTAAATTTGAAATTCAAATGAAATGTATGCCTCCAGTCCAGGACGCATGCAAATAGAGTAGCCAGGGCCACATCATTATCTTGAGAGCATTTCTGCATTCATCGTCCTGATATCAATAGCCCGCCACTGTATTGCTGTTGGAGAGCTAACAAAACACAAAAGCCATATCC